CCTGGGTGCCACGTATCTCTGTCCGGCTGCTTCGTGGGCGGTTCTAAGTGACCTTTTGCACTGTTGGAGATACGGGCAGCCCATGTATCTCGCGCCGTGCGCACCGGAACAGTTGGAGCACTTGCGGTTGCTGTTCGGTCTTTTAAAATTAGTGTCAATTTTAGCCAGCGGGCACTCCTTGAATTCGTGCGTACCAGAACAGTATCTGCACGAGAGGCTGCTGCGGCAGGACGAAGCTGTATGCCACGCCTTATTGCAGCGCGAGCACTGCATGATGTCTGGTGTGCTGGTCTCAGGCTGCCGCTGCTTGCGTTGGCGAGGGGGTCCTTGCGTCGCTACTGAGGCGGCATCAGGCACCCCTGAAGGGTCGGCTCCCGAAGGAGCGGTCCCCTGCGCTGGTGATCCTGGTGATTCAATCGTAATGGGCGCAGTGTCCATTTTCTACGACGATTATAAAAAGTTCTCGAATTTATTTAGAGGTTAAACGCACGCCCTAGGTCTCAGTTTAGAAAGTTTATAATGTAAATTATAATTACCTAGGGCGTTGTTCCTTCCTCTGTTGATTCTTGTAGATCTTTGTTGCTGGTGGTTGTCGTTGGCTAGGTGCGTACACGGGCTGCTAATGACCCACCCGCAGCCGATTCCGATAGCTCAGTCGAGACAGACTCAGCCGAATATCAAGCGATTCTGTCCAGTAGCTGGCTATCGATAATCAGGCAACGAATGGATAGTTAGCGGGGCAACGTGTTCAGGCGAGGCGGGCTTGCGCGTTCAACGTCTTGCTCGGGCGAAGGCTGTAAGCGAAGTGTTGTTGATTGATGATTTTGACACCACCACCACAACCAGCGGTAAGAAATACCACCCGACCATCCCCACCTGGGAGCTTAAGACACCGTTCACCGACGAAAGCCTCGCCCACGTGATAGACAGAAACCATGACATACTCGATGCAAGGTCGAGAGTCGAACAGTACATCCGTGACGCAGAAATTGACACTATGATAATATACACCGACGGCTCAAAAACCAGCACGGGAGAAGTCGGGGCGGGTGTTTACATACCGACCTGGAAGACCACACACGAATACCGACTCACTAACGATATGGCAGTCTGCTCAGCTGAGCTGGTAGGGATTCTGAAAGCACTGGAGCTAGCCTGCGAACGGCCCCCCATAAAACTCCTCGTCCTTTCTGACTCACTATCAGCAGTACAAGCCCTGAGGGACTTTTCGAAAGTGAGCCGGCAAGACATCAAGGAGGAAATCCTGACAATTTCCACCCGACTCAGAAGCCTGGGATGCCAAACCACCATTGGTTGGATCCCAGCACACATAGGCATTGAGGGCAATGAAGCAGCAGACAGAGCGGCGAAGAGAGGCACGGTTAGCCACAACACAATATTCGCGGGACTGGGCAAAACTGAACTAAAAGCGATTATCAAAAGCAGAATATGCAGAGAATGGTCCCAACAGTGGTCGACCAGCGACAAAGGCAGAGCTGCCTACAAACTACTCAACAAACCCAGTCTCAAGAATCAAGTGACTAAACCGACCAAAATTCCGGCCATCCGAAAACTGTGGAAGATGCGACTAGGGTGCTGGCCAGACCGATTCCGCACTCCTGTGTGCGAGGAATGCAGGGCCCCCAACTCCATGGAGCACTTCTTACTAAACTGTAAACACCACGAAATAGAGAGACAAGAGCTCGTGCTGCACTTCAGAGCCTCAAACCAACCTATGACAACTGAAAACTGCCTCAGTGTGAGCTGTGACGACAAGGTCCAGCGACTTGTGAAGCAGTTCATATCCAGAACCGGGAAAGCCATCTGAGAGCCACCCCTCATCATGATGTGACCAGATCCAGCGAGTACCAGCACCCACAACAGAGGCAACTTTACCTCTCACTCACTCTTCCGACCTCACTGTATGTCCTCTCAAAGGCATTCCTGCCCCTCAGCCTGTACCACCTCCACTCCTTCTCCACCACAGGCGAATCAACCAGACTAAAAAATTCAACTAACATAATTTCTCATAGTATATTTTCAGAAAGAATAATACGACCGAACCCACCAAAGGCCACCCGACGCTCTGAGGCAAACCAGCTAAAGGGCATAGCACAAGAAGGGGACCAGCACTCGTGGATTTCAGTCTGTTATGCATTTCATTTTGTAAACTCCCCGCCCCTCCCACATATGTTTCAATGTTAATAAACTCATTTTCAGCTAAAAACCGAGGAAACCCACCAAAGGCCGCCCGACGCCCTGAGGCAAACCAGCTAAAAGGGCATTGCACAACAAGGGGACCAGCACTTGTGGAATTCCAGGCTACTACGCCACTCTGATAACTTCACCCGTCCCTTCCCCTATGTATCTAAAATGTAAATCAGTCTATTTTCAGATCAACCCAGGCAAAGCAGGCAGTGTGCAGGACTCAACCCACCAAGGACCTCTTCCTCAAACCTAGCAAGCTATCTGTCTCTCTCCATCTTCCGATCTAGCTATACAATATCTTTGCACCTTCGGGCGTTCTAATTTTTTAGCAACCTTTGTTACCTCCTCTACTTATCTAACGGCTGCACACAACAACAAGATTGTGACAGTCGTCCTGTGGGGGCCGTGTTTTAGGGCGCTCAGTATGCGGAACAGTTTGTTTCGTGGCGGTGTGACTTCGGACTGACTTGGTGCTAACACAGATGAACGGTGCAAAAGCTAGCGAATAGCCAATTAAACAGGAACCAGGCCCCTCAGAACCAAAACTTAGGCAACAAATGAACAAACTCAGGTGAAAGTGCTCACCACAAGGAATATAAATAAAATAAGATAGCAAAGGAACCGTCCTTGAAAAAGCAGGCCATCAGGCGGCTAAAAAAGGACAAAGTTTTGAATTTTTGTTTGATTTTATACGATACGATACGATACGCTGAAGAAATATAATAAACACATAGCAAAAGGAAAACCACGCAAGACATAGAGCGACCTCATCACGAGCAACCTAACAGAAATAAACACCAACTTGTACAATGCATTGGGGAAAGTGCACAAGCGATCCTCACATACCCCCTCCCCTCAACTCCTCACTGAGGTATATGGCGAAAGGGAAGAAGAAAAATGTCCTTTAATTTAAATGTTAGCATTTTCTCGTTATTCGTATCTTTAAAAGTCATATTTATTTTACAGTTTTCTTAGATTGGCTAGTGTAATTTAAAACGGTAGGGCCTCAGGGGTTAATATAGCTTAGGGCCTCATCAGGTGTAAATCCAGCCTTGGCTGTATGTCTGCCCTATTGATCGAAAGCGAGCTGAACTAAACATGTTTAATGTTGCAGTAACCACTGCATGGAAATAGTTGAAGTAAGCTTTGTGGGAAATATGATAGACTGTACTATTCATTCAATAATTAAAAAAAAAAACAATAAGAAGAAGAGATTCACACAACAGCAAAGTATAGTGTACTAGAAGCAAATTCTAAAGGGGTCTGTTGTAAGGGAAGGGGAAGAGTTACTATAAAGAATAATATAAAAATCCACTCCTTGAACCTATCTTTACTCCAAGCCTACAAGAGCTCCACCAAATACTGTCGTTCTGAGTGGATGGAAACCAACCCATACTAAGCAACAAGAAAAAAAATTTCATTAGATGGCGGCTTTCTTTATGTTATTGAATGCTTCAATGGTTGAAACATTTAAAGGTTAAAGTACTGTGAAGCAAAAATCCACGAAAGGAAGTTATTAAATGTGATTAATTGTGCACGTCGAAAAAGTAAAAAGCATTATTGTGCATCCATAACTTTTCCAAACTCACAAAACCGTCAAAAACATGCCTACTTATTGTTAAAATATTAACAGTGCTGAGATTTAAATATTTTAACATTGACAGCTATTTAAATAATGGGTTACATTCCATTGTTAACAAATTTGTCCCCGAAGTAACTTGAGCTTAACATTTTCGTGTATCGCCCGGTAACGTTCCCAAGATTCTGGATTCCGTTTAAAAAAAAAAAAAAAAACGTCGACCACGTTCAACATGCTATAAGCTAGCCGAAGCCGCCAACAGTTTCCGGTTATATTTGTGGTCTTGTTTTTTTTGCCTTACTTTCGTGGCTGAGGTTCTGGTATGTGCGCCAGCTGTCTGGATTAATGTCCCTGTCGAAGGCAGACCGCTCTTTCCTTTCCTGTGTGCCAGTGTGTTTTTCCTGCCCTTTTCTTTCTGATGTTTTCTTCGTGGATCATCTTTCTTTCTTTTTTGGCCAGGCTTATCTCATAGGGGACCGATCTAGGTCTACATAACGTCTTTTTTTTGGACCATCATTTATAGTTTTATAATTTTGAGTTTTTTAACTTGCCAAAAGTACTGAAAACAATTTTTGGGTTTGGGTAGATCCGAAATTGTAAAAATATTTTGCGTGTGGCCATCTTCTTCTTCTTTAGCATACCAAGCCGCTGAGGTTCATTGCTACAGATATCACCCGCCTCCATCCATCTCTTTGGTTGGCCTTCTCTTTCCAGTTGGTGACACTAAGTGTTTGCAGGTCTCTATGGACATTATCTCTCCATTTTCTTCTTGGTCTGACTCGTGGTCTACTACCATTCATCCCCTTATGTTTACAGTTTGTACTTCTCTGTCATCTGACATTCTTTCAATATGCCCCAACCATTTCAGTCTATTAGCTCTCATGAAAGCAGTGATCAGTGGTGATTCAAACAGATTTTGAATTTCGTTATTGCTTCTCACTCTCCATTACCCGCTGTTTGCATCTTTGAAATTGGTCGTAAGACTCTGCGTATGACCATAGCGGTTTTGTGTGTGTCTTTCTGCAAAAAGAGCAGGTTAGGCATGTAATAGTGATGTGTATAATTCCCAAGAACTGCCAGGTATGCACATATACACGGAGGTCAACCTCTGTTAAAGAGACAGCAAATAAAGAAGTATTTCAATTTACCAACTAAGCCGCAACATTACACTTCCTGGTCCTTTCAACCGTAGCGTCAAAGCTTCAATGATTGGTTAGGTTTGCAGATCTGATGCAAGCTTTTTCCAGAACATGTTCATGTGCTGGTCGTCATCTTGATGATCGTGGTTGGGATATTGGATGTAAGTGTTGCTCTGGATGTAATAGAGTAGCTCAGTACCCAGTTCTTTCTTTGTGAGATTTTCCATCAGCAGAAACACAAGAACGGGCCTCCCCGTGTGTACCTGCTCCATATTCGCCATTTGTAGTTCATATTTGCACCACGCACTCTTCAGTAGCTCACGAGTTAGAACTACCAGCGTGTGTCGGCTATTCTTTATGGCTTCTAAAATGTTGGAGGCAATGTATTCTCCTGCGATAAAATCAAGACCGTGGACATGAATCTTCAGTCCCCGGGATCTAAGCTGTGGGATCAATGTCCCGACCACAAAATCGTGGTCGTCGTGAACGTACGAAGTGAACACATCGTATCTGTATTTATTCAATTCGCCCGCCTTCTCTTTGTTTATTTTGAAGTTGAGGTACACAGAATAGTACGCGTATCTCAATTTCCATCGAAATCGATACCCTATTGATAGTACTACAACGAGCAGAATCAAAACCGTTCCCGCTAATACAGTAATGAAAAACTCGAATTTCGAACTGCATTGGCGAACAAGTGTGTTGTATATCCTGTCAAATTCATCCACATATTTCTCAGAAACGTCTGAAAATACACACTTATAGTTAATAAGCTTTGTGCGAAATATGTTAGATTTTACTATCCATTCCAAAAAGAAGAGATTCACACAAAAGCAGTGTATAGGGGTTTCGGAAAAGTCTATTATCAGAGTATAGTTATTCCCTTTCGTTATGTTATTGAATGCTTCAATAGTTGAAAGATTTAAAGTTGAGAGTTCAGTGAAGCGAAAATCCACGAAATTGAGTTTTTTCATATGGTTTATATGCACGTCGAAATAGTAGAAAGCGTTATTGTGCATCCATAACTTTTCCAAACTCACCAAACCGTCAAAAACATGCTTACTTATTGTTAAGATATTGACAAAACTGAGATCTAAATATTTTAACTTTGACAGCGATTTAAATAATGGCTTACATCCCTCGGCCAATGAATTTTCCCCGATGTAATTCGAGCTTAAATTGAGTTTCTCCAGAGATGGAAAATCATCAAAGAATTTTTCTGAAATCCATTCAATGTTGCATTCATCGAGATCTAGTGTTGTTAAAGCAGCCAGTCCTCTAATGGGGCCTACAAGTCTGGGAATATTGTTTCCGCGCAAGCTCAGATGTCTCAAGGAGTTATTGGGGTCGATGGTAAATTCCGTTAAAGAATACGACCATCCCGCGAAATTAATGCTCACCGACTCCAAGTTCTGAGGTAGTTTTAAAAGTGGATCGCTGTCGGTGTAGTCTATAGCATGACCGCTGTACATTTCATAATTAAAACTTTCAGGTTTTATCAAACAACTCTGTGCGTAGACGGTTGGAAACATCTTTGGTAAGTTAAAACTAAAAATCCCACCATTTAGATTCAGCACTTGTAAATTTTCTAATTTCGAAAATTTGGTAAGGTACATTCCAAAAGTGAGTCTGTTGTCACTGATATCGAGGCTTTTCAGATTCTTAGGAAGAGCCTCTAAGACGCCGGCCTCAATGATTTCAATACTGTTGCTCTGAGCCACGAGATGCACAAGTTTTCTGGGTAACACTTCTGCAAATTGTCTTGACACTGAAACGCAGGGCATATACTGCCGGATTACACCTGTTATATTCAAATACATGACGTTTGAGTGCTGTAAACTTCGCAGCGCGGGGATTAGGTTGTCGAAGCACTGTTGTTCATTACCTGATAAGTCCAAGACCTGGAGATTTGTTAAGGGTTCGAACACCCCGACCTCCATGTGAGAAAAATCCAGGCAACATCGTGTGAGATTAAGAAATTCAATTTGAGGAACATTCATAAAAGTTTTGTTTCGGACTTCCACAGTACTGCAGCGATGGTGAAGTGGTCCACTCAATGTTAATCGCTTTAACGATGCCATTGTCCTAAACCCAGGGCCTAGTATTTTGTCAAGAAGACCGTCTATATAAAGCTCAGTTAAATTGTGCAGAAAAGACAATGCGAAATCGGGATACTCTAGCCTTGGAAGAGTCGGATCCCTAGTGTTGTGGTTGATCTTTAGAGTCCTTAAGGAAAAAAGAGGGGAAAACACAAAACGCGGGAATTTTAAATCCATAGACAGGTTGTTATGTTCCAAATTCAGATATATTAGTTTGCTCAGATTAAAGAAGGTATAGTTGTCCAATACATTTAGTTGGTTTTTGCTAATGTCAAGGTGCTCTAAATTGAAATATATCGCCAACGACACACCAAGATATTCTATAAAGTTTTCCGATAGATCAAGAAATTGTATCTTCGTATCTAACTTAGGTACGTGTGTGAGGTTACAGTTAGAACAATCTGCGTGTTTTTCTTCCACAAAACACCGTGTCTGGCAGGTAACGTATCTGTCGTCTCCATATGGTTCTGAAGAAATGTGGTTTGTTTCTTGAACTCCAGCTGGCTGTGTTTGTACACTTGTGATGAGGATAAACCCACTAACTGCAATGAGCAGAAGCTGCAATTTGACAAAACGGCTGTAATTTTCCATTTTCTGTGGAATATAATTTCGAAAAATAAATTAACACTTATTGGGCTTATCTGCAAAAATTGCAAACCTCCCAAAAACAAGCTTTCGACTTTGAAACCAAAGTGGTCTCTTTCGAGCCGTGCTATCCATCTGCCATCCAATTCACCAGCTTTCCAACTTAGTTACTGACTTTTTAGCCATGCTACTGGTTATACAGCCAAGCCACTGACTTTCCAACCAAGCTGTCGACTTTCCAATCACCCCACTGACTCCAACGAAGCTACTGACTTTCCAACTAAGCTACTGACTATCCAATGAAGTTATTGACTTTACAACCAAGCTACTGACTTCCCAGCCAAGCTACTGGCTTTCCAACTGAGCTACTCACTATCCAACTAAGCTACCGACTTCCCAACGAAGCTACTGACTTTCCAACCAAATTAGTGACTTCATAACCACGCTACTGACTATCCCATCAAGCTATTGACTTTCCAACCACTCTACTTCTTACCAATTAAGCTACTGACTTTCCAACTAAGCTACTGACTTTCCAACTAAGCTACTGACTTTCCAAGTAGGCTACCTACTGTCAAACTAAGTTACTTACTTTACAACAAAGCTATTGGCTTTCTAACCAAGTTACTGACTTTCCAACTAAGTTACTGACTTTCCAACTAAGTTACTGACTTTCCAACCAAGCTGGCATCCTTCAAACCAAGCTACCCACCTGCTATCCTATGTAATTGAAAAGCTCTCAAATTAAACATCTGACTTTTTAACCAAGCCACCAGCTTCGTTAAGTGAGCCCTCTTTAGTAAGCTTTTACAGCATACGTGTTGGATGTCACATTAGTAAGCATTCTTTGCTTCGCTGTACGGTATGATACGTGCGGTCCTTCATTGTGACGTGCTGAGGCGCTTCAAGCTGATGTGTGTGGTACCAAGATGAAATAGGCCAAGTAGGGGTAAAACAGTAGTTACTTCAATGCTTTCAAAAGGTAGAGTTCGAACGCTATGCGTTAAGTTCCAACGGTTGTATTGATATATACAATCAGCAATACAAGGAGAAATACATATGCAATCAATAATCAACTCGTTCAACCAAAGCTCACTCGTACA